ACACAGACCCCAAAACACACATCAAAGGAGTTTGTTCCCCCTCCGCCCCCAAACACACACAGAGCTCACATCTGATATCCTGTGAGCCTCACGCACCAGTCCCAGCCCTGAGCTCACCTGCCACCACTGTCCTAGCACCCGAGCCCCCAACATCTGCGTTGATTGGCAGCGTGTGTGGTTGCAGGGTGCACTCAATCTGCCCCAACAGCATGGAAATAAGAGGCTAAAGGGAAGCGCTTGTATGCTCCTGTGCACATTCATGCTGCCTGCAACACTGGGGATGAGGCACTCCAGTGCTCCATGAGGCTTTGTCTGCCAAAGTTCCCAAAAAGTGCCAAGAAAGGTACATAACCCTCAGCTTTATGGCATTTTTGCTCTCTAATGCAAAACTTTAACAGTGACCTTAGGCATTTACATCAAAGGATCAGCTGCAGCTGGACCTGAGTCCTGGTGAGCAAAGGAGCTCTGGTTTTCCATGTTAAACAAACCAAAATCAAATGCCAAAATATATAGGTATTTACAATGTATTTTATTATAATGATTGAGGCACTGATAGACTTCCAAATTGCCTTAAAATTGTAAAAATCTTAATAATACATTGTGTTCAACTGATTCATAGATTCATAGATTGTAAGGCTGGCGAGGACCTCGGAAGATCATTGAGTCCAGCCCCCTGCACCAGGCAGGAAAGATAACTGGGGTCAGGTGAACCCAGCAATGTGACTGTCTAGTACCTCTATATATGGTACCGTTCCAGTTTAATTATGGAAAAATGCAGACTTGGGGGTTTTTAACCAGAGAATTGTGGATTTTTTTAAAATCAGAGAACTTTGGGTTTTTTTAACAGAAAATGAGGATCTCTGGTCATAATTCATACTATTCTATGTCATGCCTCAGTCAATTACATTTTTAAGCAGGTTAGGAATAATATGGCTTATCTTATCAAAAGCTAATTTGGATGAAGGTGAGGTATGAATTTAAAGCTCAGTTACTATTCCTGATTAGCACTAAGGTGATACTTTACACTGGAATAAGGCAGCTTGTGAGTTTAATACTGAATAGCTTTAAGTATGGGCAAACTTAAACTCAGAAAGGAAACGATAGCCAGCAACAGGCAATGTAAGACAGCGTGGCACCATAGTGTAGGTGGAGGCAAATGGTAATTGGTGGTCTGAAGACGAAGCCTGCAGGACAGATGGGTGTGCAGAAGAAAGCCAGGCAAGTGAATGGCAGGTAAAGATTTATTTGCATTCCATTCTTGATAACTTCTTCTGCAAATAGGGCAAGACTTTGGTACTCCACTAATACTGGCCACAGGCAGGGCTGCATTCTGGCCTTCTCCAAAACAAAATAGGTTTTAAATATTCAGCCTTCTAGTCTCTAATCATGACATAAGGGCATGGTGGAAAGTGCCAGGGATGGGAGGGGCAGCAACCAGGGGTCTACATGTCTTATCTGCTGTAAGCTGCACATCATCTTGAGGCAGATGTGGAGAAAACAAAGTGTGTTAGAATAAGGTTTTGGGAGTCACTGAACTCCAGATGTCCTAACAGCCCCAAGGAGGTACATAAATGCCTAAAAGTCTCTTAATTTTCATGTGAAGCACTGTAAAGGATCTAGACCTACAGGTCTACACAAAAAGAGAGAAAAGAGAGATAATATGCACTGGTTTCCTCCAGGGCCAGTTTCAGGCTCATTTATCCGCATTGGTTAAGAGAAGATAAGAACTAGGGACACCTATACAAGGCATGCTACACATTTTGATTTTCACCTTCTTTCTTGAAGTCTGTAGTCTTCTAAATAGGCAAACTGAGGTGTTTCTTCATTATCAGAGTAGGAATACTACCTTGCTGCATTGGACTTAATGGAATGGGATGTGGGAAAGCTCTACGAAAGAGTGACACTGCTCACCAACTAAGGGAGACCTTCCCTACATCTCCTTCCTCTTTCTGCCAGAGAACCCAGTCATCTGAGTACAGCAGGGAGGGAAGGAAAACACTTGGATGCAGGGAACATCAATCTTTTTTGTACACAAATAGCCAGCTGGCAGGGAACAAGGAAAATATTAGGGCAATGAAATCTATCCTTCCCTAAGTGTCACATTCCTGATCCAGCCATAGAGGGATATAGAGGGAAGCTCAGAAGAACACAGAAAAATGAAATCTGGCAAGTCTCTCTTTTGCACTTCTGCATTTCTTTTTTCCTTAAATATGTCTCTCTAATCCTTTTCTTCAGTGAAATCATTCCAATAATAAATTGTTTCAGGGCTTTTACAAACTCATTTTTTCATTGTGTGAAGTATGATATATTATGTATGTGACCTGATTTGATTTTTATGTGTATTTGGTTTGAGATATCTATATCTATATATGCATGCATAAAAATCAAATAGTGTGGAACATGATAGACCTATATAGAGATAAAAGGCTCCTTGCATACACCTGGTCTTACACACATTGTATAATAGATGGTTTAATCCTTTCTATATGGCCATATATACATAAGTATGAGAGAAATGGGATACTTTACCAGCAAAGGTCTGCAAGGATAGATGCAGCTCATACTGGAAAGACCATACATTTGCTGCTATAGCTTATTCCACCTCCTTTTTCCGCAGAAGAGCCAGCATCTATCTACACAGGCCTCTGCTGTGTCAATCAGGGACAATGTCTCTTCACGCCCCTAACAAACTGGCTATGACAGCAAAAGTCTGCAGTGGAGAAAGGACCTCAGTCAAGATTAATTTCATTCAAGTCCTGGGGCTCCCTACATGGAAAGGCAGTGTGGATGAACAGAGAATTTGTGCGGTTACATCTAATTAGGCAAGATTGAGAAGGATGGGCATGGGGTGATTTTGCCACATCTGTTTACCTAGAGAGCAGCTGAGCACGACATTGTGCAGGAAACCTGTGCAAAAGAATTTATAAGGAGCACGGGGGGCAGAGTCCAAAACCTCACTCCCTGAACTGGCTCCTATGCTGAAAGCCAATTTCATCTCTCCTGCCTTCAATGACTGTACATTAGACAAGGAGCATATTTTCAGGATGAGCATGATAAGCATGAGATATGGAGACCTAAAGACACTCAAACAATCTGTAAGAGGTCAAGCAGTGAGAGAAGAGTATGTAGATACAGAAGGCTAGAAGTCCAGACCAAGAGCTAGACAAGAATGTTAAACAGCCTTTGTTAAGTGATACATTTTGCAAGTCTTGGTAGGGCCCAGAGGAGGAGGGGGGATTGTTTCCCAGCTCTTTGATATCCAGTCATTTAGCACTGTACTTTGTATGTATGGATTTGCTGTTATGAAGTGTTAACAGGTTTCTGGGAGAGGTGCCATCTGTGACAAAGCTTTTGAGTTTTGATCAGCCCCTTTTATATTTCCTGCTTTGTACTTTGCAGAATCTTGGATGTATTAGTAGTTCACACACAACTCTCCTTTATTAGCTTTGAAAATTTCTTTATTTTACCATGTTCAGGGTTAAGGTGTTAAAGAGTACAAAGGTGCTACAGATCTTATTAAAAGAAGTGCTTTCAAGCATGTTCAGTTTTTTTGCTTTCAGACTGGTGAGCTCACGTGCCCTCTCTCATACTTTCCTTCTGTGGTCTGTTTTACAGTTTTCTGAGGGCTGGGGGCATCCTTCTGGTGAAACATGTTTAACCTCAGGGGCTTTCTTATCAAGTCCTTGTCAATAGTTGGTGTTACCTCTTATTCCAACTGGTGGTTTCCTTTGGTGCTCAGTTTTCCCAATTATTCTCTAAATGGCATATTTTCCTGGTTTGGACCTATTGCAGTCTCTGTAGATCCTCATTAGTTTATAAAAGCTTTCCATTTATTCTTCGCTGGAGCATTTACCAGGATCAGAGTTGAGACATTTAAGCAGGCTTGCTTAGCTTTTTTTGTGAGTGCATGTCACTGACTTCAGTGATGCTTGGTGTAGAGCGTATCATAACAGTAAAAAGGTCTCTGGTTTGGAGTGGTTGTCATTTCTGCAAAACAGGCTTTGTGCAGGGAACCCCACAGAGCTTGGGGAAAGGAACTGTAGACTTAGTGACCTTGAAACAAGCTGCTATTTAGTCTTAGTAAAAGGTACTTTGCCCGACCATACCCTGGAGATCAACCACGCCCAGAACACATCCAGCAGTGCCCTCTTACATTTCCCTCAAGGAAACCATACCCCAAGGAAAACAATCAAAGTCCTTGAGGTTGTGTTTTCATGCCCTAGTGTCCAAAATTCATGAGATATGACTAAAAATCCTGAGGTTTAAAGGACAATAATAACAATTTTGAAGCTTGTTAATTTGCCTTTTGGTTCTTTATATTTTAAGGTGCAGTTTGAAAACACAATGAAGCTCCTCCTGATAAGGACTTGTAACTTCCCTTTTAAATAAAGAAGACCTGAAATTCTCATAATCCACAAGTGTCCGGACTCCAGTGGGGGGTGGGGGAAGGTTGGAGGGATAAAAAAGAAATGCTGTGAATTTTGCAATAAAATTGCAAGACTTGGCTACACCAATACTGTTAGTGTGAAGTGGAGCAGGTTTCCTCACTTTCTGGCATAGCGGATATACAGATCTGAAGTGGTGCAGCATCTCGTGAGAGTCCATGCAACTGCTCTCTCCTGGGCCTACCCTGAACATAGTTTTCTCACTTCCCCTCTCCTCTCTGGCTGCTGTGGCAGGAGCCACTGATTCTGCTTCAATCAATTTGAAACAAAAGCCCCTGTGTATTTCACATTGGAAAGTTGAGTCATTTGCGCATCTTCTGGATATTACTGCTGATTCTTCACTATGGACCTAATTTAAATCCCAAGTCAATACGGAGAACTTCCATTAACTTCACTGGGCTTTAGATCATGCCCAAGATGTCCTATTATTTTCAAAAGTAGGTCTTTCATCTCTTCAACAGCACAGCCTCAAAATTAAATTGCTTCCCTACATCAGAGAGATGAGGGGTGGAAAACCAGGCCCACTGACAATTACAGAACAGTTTGCAAACTTACCTGGAATCTGTGGAAGTCTGCAGGTTTGAAATCATTAGGTGAACAGCCACACCAGTCCACAATGTGCTTGTACTGACATTTGCAGCCCAGTTTACGGTTCCAGTTAGTGATCCGCAAGTTGTTGTCCACCATGGAATCACAGTAAGGGCTATTTTCCAGGACAGTATGAAAGAAAGACTGCAAAACAGGTAACAAAGTTTGATAACTTTTAGCTCCTCAGACTTGCATTCTCATCATCTTAGCTCAAAAAACCAGCCCACTAGCCTGAACTTTAACCCACATTTGGCTCAGCTTCTTTACATGAAGGAGGTAATTTCTCCTGTAGCTTTGTCACGATTCCTTCCGTACAGCATGAACAGGATAGCACTGCATACCTGCTGCCAAACAGTAACAGAGTATGGGGAGAAGCAGGGTACAAAAGACTTATTGGGCACCAGAATGATTGTAATTAAGATTTCTGGGACAACTAGCTTCGTGATCCTGAAGCTGAAAGGCACCGTCATTACTATGCTGCATTTATTTCAGCTGTATGAGCCATCCCAGTGCAAAAAAGCAAAACATTTTGTCTTCTGTAAGTTACTCTCTGGTTTACTACGCTCAAGACAGTTAACTTTAGAGACATGGTGATGGTAAATTTTAATGAATTTTCTAGGATGATTTTCAAACCGCCTCTCTCACAATGGTTATTGATGAAAAAATAAACAGGCTCATAGACAATTCTTCTGTTAGTCTGCCTACCCTGAGTACCAAAGATTACTTGTAATGAGCTGCTAGTTGAATGACCTCACACTGAAATATACAATTCACCCCAGGCACCAGGAAGACATTATGTCTCCTGCAATTATGTCTGAAATCAGAAGTCTTTATTTGCTGACTCAAGGCAGCAAGGAATTCCTATTGGGCCACCCCGATTATATCACCATAATTTCAGCTATTACATTAATCATGTGTAATGGGGACAAATGTAGCAGGTTACCAGGTCAGCCAAGGCAGAATGATTTTAGAAGCTTAGACCTGTACCCAGCAGAGAAAACCTCATGGAGGGAAGCAGCAGAACAGGATCAAATTTAGCTCTGCGAAAGATGATTTCAGGAGCAGTGACTTCTGTTTAAAACCAACTATAGAATGGTCTATAAATAAATGGCATAGCATTAACATGGCTGGCCCCCAAATAATCCCCCTACCCTTTTTTAATGTTAAATGACAGCTCAGTGAATATGGATTTTATGCTTGAATTGTCTGGTTAAACCCATAAAGGCATACATTTTCATTCAAGCGAGAATAAAAAAGCTACCCAATTACCCATTGCCCTGTGTCCTTTCATAATGATACAGAAATTCTCTGCAAGATAATGGATGAAAAGGTTATCAGAGTGGAGCGGAAGGGTGATTTTTAGTAGGAATAGGATTAAAGAGATCTTATTTAACATGTGTGTAGAATAAGAAACCCTATCAAACTATGGCAATCGCTGTGCTCCACTGAATGATTATTATCCTAAATTTTAAAGACTGGTCAGTCCATCCATCAAACACGCAGAGACTGCCACTGAAGAGGGAGGTATCATTAGAAGACAGTCATCAGGTCAATATTCCTCATACAATGTTCATACTTCGGGAAAAGGGCCCGACACCCAGGGTAACAATACACCTGCCAGCACAGGTGTAGAACAGTCAGTGAACATGTCAGACTGTAGCAAAACCCCCAGTTTTTCTTTTTTTTTTCCTTTTAAAATGAATTCCCTCCCCTTCCCCAACCATTTCTGACTTTTTCTTTCTCTCTCTATTCCCTATAGATAAGTATAAGTGAGCTAAGACATAGGATAACCTTCAGCATTTTATTTTGGTAGCTAGTTGTATTTGTTTTGGTTTTTTCTCCCTTTTTATATTGTATAATTATTATGTTTATATTGATTTTTACTGTTCTATATTACTGTTTTACTGGTACTATATGATTTAGGCCTACATATGTAAACTAACGTAAGTCATGTCAAGTTTCCATTTTGTTTGTCAAGTCTCTATCCTGTCCCCAGGCCCGGTTGTGCAACCCATGACTCGCACCTACCCCACCTATGTAACTTGGCTCCTGAATGAATGGGGATGAATGAGGGTGCTTGAGAGACAGTGGCAGTAGGTCTAAAAATAGCTCCTTCTGAATGACCGAACCATCAATACCACTACCTGGACTAACGACCCAGCCCTTCGAACTACCCTCAGCATTCCAGAAACAAAAGATGAGACAACCCACTATTGTGCCAAGGCTGCACATGCTCAGTAAGAATACCTGGAGCTCTCTGGAACAGGACTGACATTGTCTGGACAGGCCCTCCCCACTGGAGATTAGAGGTAGTCTGCCCCATAAAAGGGGTAGTGAAGACTGACTCCTTGGGATGCCCTCTCCATCTGGACTAGCACCATGCCACACCACCTATCCACCCAGAGGCCCTGCCAGCGACCCCCCTCTGGACAACACCTACTGGACAAAGACCCCTTTCCAGCCTGGATAGGTAACTATCTTCCTCACCCCCTCTTCAACCAAGGACTTGGACTCTGCTTCTCTTCCCTATCTGGACTCCAACCTTTCCACTGAGTCTCTTTCTGCTGCTGCAATTGTGAGTGCATGTGTGTGTGTGTGAACCAATAACTTCATAGGGCTGTGTAGTATGTTGTCTGTTTAATAAAACTGTTATCTGGACCCCTAAGTTGGGTTTTACTTTACTATGGTTTGGCCCTGCGCCAATCTCTGCTCCTTGCCCCTCTAACTTCTGTCTCATTTCTCCCTCTCCTGCTTCTGGCTCACTGCCACCTCCAACACCTGTCCTGAGCTCCTCTCTGCCTCCAAACCCCCTGTTTCTTTGCCACTGTCTTATGCCCACTGCCTTTTCCTTTTTCCCTGAGCAACCAGGTTTCTGCCTCAGTTTCTTTCCTGGCTGTCTCCTTCTTTCCACCACTTATCTGCTCCCCCACCCCAATATTTTAGCTGTTTGCCTCAGTTTCCAGCCCCAGTCTACCTTAAGTAAACCCAAGCCTCAGTTCCTCAGCCAGCTTCTTTGTAGTCCACCGTTTCTAATCCAGGTTCTGGCAACTTTCACTCCCTACACCTTAACTCTGTCTCACCTGAACCTTCTCCCAGGTATCTGAGGTACCCCATGCACACACATACACGCTGTACCATCAAAGATAGGAACTTACCTGTGTGTATGTGTAGGTGGGTTGTATGTGTGTGTGTGTGTGTGTGTGTGTATGTGTATATATATATATATATGTAATTGTGTGCATGATATACAAATTAGTGATTTGTGTCTAACTTTTGGGGTGTATAGTATATGTGCTTGAATTAGTGATAGGTATGCATGTGGCTAGGCTGGCTTGGATGTGTATGTGCCTGAGCTGGTAGTGTGTGTATACACCTAATTGATCTGTGTGTTTGTATATGTGCAATTGTGTCACACCCTCCTGTCTAACAGTGCAATATTGAGATCCTGAGAGTTGGCCTGATCCCACAGGGCTCCAAGACTATGGCTCTACTTGAAGATAATGTACCTTCTCCTGACAAAATGCTGTACATTAGACTTAAACAAATTCTAGTCTCCACTCCATTCTTGCATCAGTTAAAGCTGGAATGATTTCTGAATGATCTAAATTATTTGAGACTGTGCCTTCCAGCTCAGTTTTGAATAGAACAATAAACCTTTTTTGGCCGATTTATATATTTTGTTTTAGTAAAAAGTGTTGGATGATGTGAGGAAAGCTCCTTAGGAAAACAAGTCTCTGTCCCTAATAATTTTGGAAAATAGAAAAACATGTAAAAACACTTGAAATCTTGAAATTTGATTAATCTGTAATAATCTTTAAGTGGCTTAAACCCTTAAAAAATAAAACAAAGAGTTAGAACATAAAAAACCTTAATTAGAATCACAATAAAATTACTTTCTCCTGTGCATACTGGGCCTGGTATAACGTTCACTGGTGTCAATGCAAAGACTTGATGACTTCAGTGATCTTTGGGTGGGGCCTACAAGCAACAACTTTTGAAGACAGGGACTTCTTGTGGACTGACGCACCTCAGCAGGAAGCAATGTGTAAGAGTAAAACCTCTTCATCTTCGTCACCAGATCATCATCGGAGAAAATGACATACTCTACAAACTTCCTGTTCAGTAGGAACCAGTCTGATCCTCCATCTACAGTGATTCCTTCTGGGATTTTCCGGTCTCCAAGGCGCCACATGTGAGTATCACATTCCAGGAAAAGCCTATCCAGACCCTGTTTTCTAATAAACCTAGGGAGAAGAAAGGGGAGCATTAAAAGTTAATTGATGCTGCTGTCTTATTACTAGCCCTAAAAATAAAGAAGATCATTTTACCAGCATATAGGGAAAAGGTCAGTATTCAAACTAACTTTCCATTTATAAATAGTATATAAAGAGTTAGTAAATAACTAATAGCTATTTAAATAAACAATGAATCAATTATATATAGCTATAGATTGCAAATGTCAATATATAGCTTACAAACAGCTGGAACACATCCTGACAGTGTCCTTATAAGCATCTGAAGCATGAGTTACTCATTTATAAAACATGCTCACAGTGTTCACTAATCCCTTGTAAACTCCTTATGAAGTGTTTAATATAAAGTGGAACTAAATACAAAAAAACTAAGTTCTGATTTTAAAATTTAACTGATATCCACTGTAGATCTTTGAAAGCAATCAAACACTTTAAAAAACAACCTTTTGAGACTATCAAAATAATCATTTTCCTACTGAAGAATGATTTTTTATCAGGCGCATGCAATTATAAAAAAGAAAAGTAGTATTTAATAGCTCTTTGTTACAGCTTGAGTATAATCCGTTCCATTTTCAAGTCTAGAGTGCAAAATACCACATGTGTTCTTTTCTTTGTTTGTTGCTGAATCATAGATAATGAAAGCAACGGTAGAACTGAAATGTTATGGAAACTGATTATTAGAGACCAACGCAACAAGAAAAATAGACTTGGAAAAATCAATCTACATTTGAAAACAGGGTGGATTGGATGCCCACAGGTGCCCACAGGGACTGCCTGATGTAGGTTTCTATTTGTCTTCCCATTTTCAGAATTGCTTCCCAGAAAGTGATAGATACTATCTAGAAAGTGAAGCATGAGAAACATGAATTAGCAGATGCAGTAATGTAGTTTCAGAAGGAGCACTGCCATTGTTACTGAAAGGCAGATCGCTATTTTCAGTATTTTGGATTGCCTGCCTACTTTCATGAGTAGCAAATGCGAGTCATCTGGGTCATCTATACTAACTACTATAAGGTACGAGGCTGAGGCCATCAAGACCACTAGGTTAAAGTACAGCAAGCTGCCTGAGTTGTGCTTCAAGTAGCAATTAAAAAAAAAAAGAACCTTTACTGCTGGATGACTTCTAGGGCTGTGCGAAACTTTGGTTCCCAATTCGATTTGACCCGATTCAGTGGCCAAATCCCCAAAATGGAACCGAATTAAAGGACCCTTTAATCTCTCTGAATTGAGTTGGAACCCTCCGAATTGATTTGGAAAGATTCAGCAATTCGGACATAGAGACAGCTTTAAATGTTTTTTCTACATACCTCAAGGTACCAGGTAGTTCGTGAATGCTGCAATGCCGGGGTGCATGGATTGTCCCACAGAAGTGCCAGAGACTCCCCCGTGTGCTCAGCAGCAGACCTGGAAGTGGACCAGAAGTTCACTTCCAGGTCCACCAGAGACCATGCTGGGCCCTCCTCCCCGTGCCCCCTCGGCTCAGCAACTGGTGCCTCCTGGGTCTGGGGGGGCACCCGGGGTCCCCCCACAGCTGACTGCCAAAACTGGGGGGCACAGGAGGGCCCAGCATGCTCCCCAGGGGACCCGGAAGTGGACCAGAAGTACTTCCAGGCCACTTCTCAGTTCTCCACAGAGCATGTGCCCCCCCTCCGTGGGATGCTCCATCTGCCCCAGCATCGCAGCGTTCACAAGCCATACCTGGTACCTTGAGGTATGTAGAAAAAACATTTAAAGCTGTGTCTGTGTCCAAATTGCTAATTCTCCAAATTAGTATCAAATCTTCAGATTCGGATTTGGCTGAATCGAATCAAGGAGAGTGATACGAATCAACTAATCGAATCACTGTCCCTGATTTGGGCCAAATCCAAATTGAATAAGGCCCAGTTTGCACACTCCTAAAGACTTCCTACAAAAGGAAACATTAAATATACTGCACTTGCAACACCTTTCAAAAAAAGAGAGCGTTGGTTAAACAGAGAGACAGATAAAATATGACGCTGGCTTTGTCTTAAAAAATTAGCCGAGTGGTGCCAGTCCCCACTATAATATTGGTAATTCAACTCAACATGTTTGGAATGTCTTTTCAAGAAATGCAAGTGGGGTTGGATCAGGGTTGTAGTGAGGATCACAACCAGACCTATGTGAGGTAAGGCTGTACCATTACACTGGTATTTTTATAAACATTTTTTCTCCTGATTTTTTTCCTATAGGAAATAAAGGCTAGGAACAGATGTTCCATTTGTCCCTGGACAAGTTGCATGTCTATCCTGGAACAGAAATATCCTAGGATTGGTATATACAGACATCGCCTTTCTAATCACAGTTTAGTGAGCAGATGAATGCAGGCCCACTTTTCTTCCATTGATTCATTTATGCAGCCCCAGGATAAACATTCAGATGCACGTTGTGCTGTCCCAGGATAAATTGTTAGTACTTCTTATCCTGAAAACCTTTTTAGGGTTTATTCTAGGGCTATGGATATGACATCTGAATTACTACACTTTGTCTTGGGATAAAATGGTTTATCCTTCAAAAAATGCAGTATTTCTTTATGCCAAAGAGAACCTTTTTGCATTGTTTCTCTCACACATACATATTATGAAGGAAACCAACACAAAAATATAAACCAAAACATTATGAACCACCAAACCTTCTGGAAAACTTGATATTTTACCAGTTAACAGGCTAACTCCTTGTTTAGCAGCATTCCCTTTCCTAGTCCAAACACCATAAAGAACATTTTAATGAAGCAACAAACAGAATTATGAAATGCAGCCTAAAATTTTCAAAAGCATTAAAATGGAATTGGGGATCAAGTCTCATTGACATTCAAACCCAATGTGTACATTTTTGGACCCAATATTAAAAGGGAAAAGAAAACTTTGCCCACTCTAAATAATGCTGAGGAAAATTTGCAGAGAAGGGTTGGAATTTTTCTTTCCATGAAGAAGTTTCTAATTTCATGTTCCATTATGAAGTATAATGGAAAAGTCTTGCAATTTTAATGCAGTGCTCTGGAATGTAATCTCCAAATGCAATATTTATGTAGTTATCTACAAATCAAATATTAATGTGCTTTAAAATTTTGTCACTTATTTACTTCTTTCAGAAATAATAAACTGGAAGTACTCATTTAATTATTTTAGGGAAAGAGTGGGATATCACTGAACAGGCTTAATAGGGATTTACAGTCTTGCTCCATGAAACTGTTTTTCTCAACTGCTATCTGTATTAGATTACTGACCTTTGTCATCTTATTATTAAAAAAAAGATGCTTGACTGTAAGAAAAAAACTACCCCAAAACCCTCTAAATACAAAACAAACAATCCCCTAGAAAGCAAAAAATTAAAGCAGTGTCTCCAAATCCAAGACACTTGCAAGCTCTAAAATTAAACACACTATCTTCTTTGTAAGGGGCCAAAGCGATCTAAATGATCATCTAGGGCACTAGTTTTAATTTTTTCATTTCCAGACCCCTAAAACATTTTGAATGGAGCTGTGGACCCCTTTGAATTGTAAGTGTGAGTAGTCATATACTTTTAATTGATGATAGTCATCTTTCACATACTTCGTAGACATAGTTTGTGGACCCCCCGGGGTCCACACACCACAGGTTAAAAACCACCGTTCTTGGCTGTTCCACTATCATGTAAAGCTTGCCCTGACAGATTCATTGCCAGAATGTCCTAGGGAATTGAGCCTTACAGTTTTGTTTATAATACAAGTGTTTTCCCAATTAGTCAACAGTTTTCTTTTATGCATGTGTAATATTGTGATAATTTGAGTTAATGGCCAGAACAAGGGAAGTCTCAGCACATGCAGAGTAATGGAAAGACATAATTTGCTCTACAGAGCATAAGGTATGTTCACAGTAAACCCCAAATCCAAAATGTTCAGATAAGATTATTACAAGAAAACTCATTCCCTATTCTATTAGGGGAATCACTGGCAATAGGATAATTGTTTTGCTAACTAGTGTTTGTTTAAACCTTTCCAGAAATATGATGTCAGTTCCAAAAGTGCACTGGCTGCTTTATTAATCCAAAAAGGAATAAAATATTTTTCAGCAGGCTTGTTGCCTGTTTGGTTGATATAAATTTGGGCTCTACCTCTTTACTTAATGTCTGTTGCATCTATATAGAACAATCTATTTATCAGCTTCAAGGGCAAATTTTACTGCAGTTTACCTGTACTGCAGTTAAGGTCACCACCTCTAATTGGGTGGGACAGTCCCAGGGTGGGAACATCAAGTCCTAGTCCTGGGCTGCCTGCCTCCAGGACAGCATTTATCCAAAATCTGCAATATTGCGCAGGGATCTGGGTTTCCCCTTGCAGGCCCACAGCATTGCAAACTACAAGGGCCTGCTTGGGGCTGTCAGGAGCAGGATGAAGGGTGTGCCATGTGCATGTGCACATGCACACCTGGACACATGCATGTGGCTGGGAATACAGCCAAGCAATGTGGACAGCAGCTCCCTGCAGGTAAGTTAAGGGGGTGGGGGGGAGATTGAGGGCCCCATGCTGGTGGTGGTGCATGCCAAGGTGGTGCATGGGGCCTGGGACAAGAAGTGTGAAACAGCCGCAAGCAGCTCATGGGGGCAGGGAGAGGGGAGGGCATCTCCCCTCCGCTGCATGTACTCTGGGGGGGGGCATGTGCACCCCAGATTTGTGGACATGATGGGGGAGGATGCAGGCTGCTGGCTGTGGGCTTGGGGCTCTCCATCCTGCTGCCCTCCTCCTGGAAGCCCTAAGATGACCATGCGGGGTGGCAGAAGTATAGAGTTGTGCCCCTTGCTGCTACCAGGTGGGCAGGGGGCATGGAGCTGGTGCGGGGTTCCCAGGGGAAAGGCAGCAAGTCAGGGAGCCCTGAGCCTACAGTGGGCAGCCTGCATCTATCCCTGCTCCACTTGGCTTTGTTGCGGCTGTGCTGCCAGTGGGGAGGGGAGGGGTGTGCAAAAGAAGCGAATATGTGTCCAATCTTTCCGATCTG